TATATATTATAATAAAGTAGGAAGGTGGATAACACAATTCTTCATTAATGGCCACCAACCACCCTTTAAAATTTCCTCCTCTTTTTGTTGACTTTCTATATAAATAGGACTGATATGTAATAAATTTTATCAGTGTTGAATGAAATAGTTGAGTGAGAATTCTCTCTCTTTTAAATTGATGCTTGGCAGCTTCAAGTGTTGCCTTTTCTTAAGTGAGATTAAGTATTTATCTTTATTTTTCTTCTAATTTATTCATTTTTTGCAGAACACTTACTCCTAAACTCTTCACCACACTTCATCCACATCATAGGCTTCTTATAATATCAATAAATCAACAAACAAAGGCTAAAAACCATTCCAAACTACTCTTCATAGCTCTTGGCCAAGCAAGAGCATATTAAGACCTAATCTTGTTCTCTAACCCAAACATAATTGTAAACCCATCCAAAACCACCCATCTACTCTAGATCATAAGTAAACATCCCATGCTAATCACCAATAATTATTTCTAGCCATTTATTTATTCTTAAACCACTTTTCCAAATAGATATTTCAAATCAACCTAAACTAGCCTAATCTAGACTAGTCTTGGTGTTGTAGCGACTGTTCCCTCATAAATCTTGAAAAATTCCACCAAGAACTTCCACATTACATATTTAGACCTAACACCAAACATTGATAACAAATTTTAGTACTTTTTCTCAACAAAAGGCCACCTGCCTCCATTGGTAAGGGCACACTTTTCTTACTGAGATGATATGAGATAATGTGAGTTTCTCTGTGATTACATATATCAATTATGCTCTCCAAAAACTTTAATCGAATAATAGATTGGAAATTACTTATTATTCTTCTCATGGACTAGAACTGAGCTTATTACTCCTTTATCAACTCTAAGATAAATGAACGATTCTTCCTTTAGTTTTGGACCTTACAACAAAGGAGGTTAAACCAAAAGCTCTTTAAATTATTTACATACTAGATCACATTATTTAATCCAAATAAATTGGATAGACTTTTTCATGATTTTTTAAAAAAAGTTGAACAGTGATCACCTTATTTTGAGAGGAATCAGCCTAACTTTGTGATGCAGACAATTAATCTTTACAACTCCATTAGATTCCTGGGAGCACATCTAAGATAGCTTGAACCATTTCTAGATTAGCCTAGGTCTCTTCATGCTTGTTCCAATATCCTAGGAACTTTCGCAAACTTACTCCAAATGTACATTTGAGGGGATTAAGCTTTATATTAAATCTTCAAAACGTAAAAAAAAAGTCTCTTTTAAATATGTTATATGCTATTTGATTGATTTGCTTTTTATAAGGAGGTCATTAATATGCAGTTCAACATTTTTTTTTCTTTTGATTTTTAAATATGATATCCATGTGTCACTGGTAGATCTATTCGATATTTTTCAAGCTAAAAATATTACATTATAATAAATCACTCCCTCTTTAGTGATGAAAGCTATAGGTTCAACATCTGTAGGATACATCTTTATTTAGTGATATTCTAATAAGGCATCTAAAAACTCAAATTTCTATAACATGGCACTGAATTTACTAAAGCAATGATTTGTGGTAGGGAATAACTATCATTTGGAAAGTTACATTCAAGTTGGTGAAGTCTACGCACATCCTCCACTTTATTTTGTGGAACATTGCCACATCTTTTCCGCCAATATGGATTTTAAACTTTGGGGATTTAGTCAACTTCCAAGAGCTTTTGAACTTCTTATTGGATGGGTTAGCCAAGTTAGTGGCTATAACTCTTATATTTTGCTTGACTAGTCTGGCGTTAGGGTGGAGATTGAGTCAAACTTTGAGCATCTTGTGTGCAGTCCATGTAAACATGTGTTAGTGATTTCTTTAAATTGAGATCAATTGCTCCTTCTACTCATGATGTACGTTAGTGCGAACATTTACCTTCAAAGACTTGCAGTTGTTAAGTGGATTTAATTTTCTCCAAAATGATCCCTGTATGGGCATTAAGTTCAAAAGGATTATTTTGTACATTTCCTGTTGCTCATAGGCAGCATGTTTGAGATTGGAATAAGTATCCCTTAACGATAATGAATCTCCTCTTCATGGGAATTTGAGAGCCACGTGATAGATGGAAATCAATGCCTCGAACACATTAAAAACCAGTCTACCAAAGATGGCATTATAAGTAGTTTGAGCATCTACCAATATGAAATATACCATGGAAGTGTATTATTTGTCTGCTTCTCCTCAAGTTACCAGTACAGAGATGGATCCATAGGTCTCTTTCCTCGCTTGAGAACATTTAAAAAGGTCCTAAAGTAGGAGTGATTTGGGTGTTCATTTTATTCATCTTCTGAAATACTTTCTCAAAGAGGATGTCGATAGATCTCCTTGTATCTACAAAGATATTCCCAATTTGGTGATTTTCAATGATCGTGGTAACTACATTTGAATATTTAAAAGGGCTCTCCCCTTGGCTAGGTCAGCTCTTCTAAAAATTATTGGTTGGTGATTGAAAGTGATAGTTCTAGACATGTCAGTGGAATGACAGTTTTAGGGTGTTGTTTATTCATAATAGGTAGACTAGTGATTTGAAGAAAGCTACACGATCGATAGAATTGGTTTTCTCTTTATAAGAGTCTAGTGAGGAAATTTTGAACCCCTTAAAGGGTTTTTCTTCAACTATTTTTTGGATAGAGCATGCTCTAGTAATCACCTCCTTCTTCGTGTCTTCTTCCTGTGTCTTATAAGGTGCCCATTGTCTCTTCACTAGGAATGTATGGTGCATCATCGTCATCATTCTTTACTTCATCAAATGCTAAACCTTAGGCTCTCTTGACCCTAACTTGAGATGGCCTTTTTTGAGTGGCTAGTCTCTTTGTTATTCATGCCTTCAACCCACTGAAATCAACAATTCCGTATGACCTCCCAAACAATTGCTGGAACATGTTCTCGATGCCTTTTTCCTTATATCTTCTAGTACAATTCATCATTGTCGCTCATTTCTCCTTGAAATAAAAAAACTGTTAACTAGATTTTGATCATGAGTGTCATACTTACCACTCCTTTCAAAATTTTTAATCCTTCTGGGTTGTGAGATCTCTTATAATTTGCGAACTCATACAATCTGAGAAAGGTCCTAAGAAAAAGTGTGAAGAAGTTGTGTGTCTCTTATAAAGTTCTCCGAGGATTCAAGATTGAGAGAGGATAAAAAGAAGAGTCTACTCCTTCCCTTTTTCTGATTTTTTATTTACTCAAGAGCCCATGTACTGACACATGGGTTTGGAAAACAATCATAAGACTAGGCCATAGGTTATGTTATACGCAACCTGATTAGACTCTTCATTGACACGATGGCAATTTTGAATTATCATGTTATTAGTAAACAACAACATGCATGTTGACATATAAAAATTATCTTTCTTATGCATCAAAGAGCATCTCATAGAGCTCGGTGATGTAGCTAGGTAGTTGTCAGTGAGTTCAATGAGAAGGTACCACTAACTTATACGAGTATAAACTATATTCTAACGGCTTAAACTAACGTTCTGCTTTTTTATCCCCTTCAACAAAACTGGAGGAGTCAATCTAAAAAAAAGAAGGGACTAAAAAGGTTTCATGTGAGTCAAGATGCAAAGTCCTTTAAAAGAACCCAGAGGGAGAGGGTGGGTGTGCGGGGAAGGGGGGTGTCGAGAGAGAGAGAGAGAGAGAGAGCTTTATGCATGTACACAAAATATTAAAATAAAAGTTTTCATATGAAGTCTACCCAAAGACCATGATATCTGTGTTAGGCAGCTCATAAATGAGGAAATGGCCTATATCAATCCTTGCTGTTTTTCTTGACTTTTACATTCCTATCTAAGAGGATTGTTGAGGAGGTGAGCTAGGCTGGTGAGTATATATGATTGGTCAGTTCGTCAAGTGGAATGGTAATTAGACCAGTTCGACGAGCTAGTTCACCAAGACAGTTCGACATATCATCACAACATCTAATATAAGATAGATGACACATCTACAAGTAAAGTTTGCGGGTCACCATAGTGGGTTACTTCTGATAGAAGTTCTGTCTTTTGGTTTTGTTGAGCTGAATCAAACCCATGATGCTTGCTGATTGCGAACTTTGGCCCATGAAGGCTGCAATTTGGTATACATAATAACTCAATCCAATATTTACTGATTTTCTTAAAAGTTTTATATTAGTTTTTCAATATCTTATAAGCTTTCAAATTATAAGATTAAATTTCAAAATAGTTTCTTGATCATTTATGTGTAGCCAATTTAGTCTCATGGACTCACTTCTTTGTAATAAAGTTTCTCGGATTTACAATGTTAGTCCAAAATAATCCCTCAGAAAAAATTTGTGATATAAATTTGATCCACTCTCTTTCTATCATTGTACAAAATTAATTCAAAATGATATCTCAAGAACTAAATCAAAATTAATTATGTAAAGTTGACAGACAAATTAATTGGAGAAATGCAATTTTTGAGATTAGATTACCCAATATGATCAGTTAATAGATCATTTTGGATTTTAACCCTAAAATTGCATATTATTTATAATAAAATATCAAATAAATGAATAAACATCCAGATTTAAAACCTATTTATTAGTAATTAAATTTAACCAAAAAACCTATTTAGAATTACACCAATTGAATTAATTAATGTCAATCTGTTAAAACTTTATTTCTTTAGATTATTAAAACCAGTTAAAAAACTAATTACGCTCGATTAAATTCTATTATGCATTACATCTGTCAAAAAAAAAAGAAGAAAATGCTTCTATAGGATTTAAATGTATGTGTATATTATATATATATATATATTTAAATTGGTTGTACGAGATGAAAAGATAAATGAATAAATTCTATGTATCAGATAAAGACTTGTAAAGCATGCAGGCATCGTAGGGTGCAATTGAATGATCTAGTCCGAGGAAAACAACCACGATAGCCGTTCTCTAATAAAACAAAACCTAACAGTTTTTCTTGTTACCTATTGCATTACAACTGTATCTCATCACCATCTTTTTTTGTTTTTTTGGAAGATTTAAATACATATCACTCAATTTTTAAATTCCAATTTTTACACGTTAATCACCTTACGTATTGCATCTGAAAAACTATATTTCCTTTCAAGATGTTAAAATATTAATATTTTTGACAAGATATGAAATACGTGGGTGGTCTGAATATAAAAGCAAAATTAAATTGTTAGATAAATTAATACATATAAATCTGATGGTTTGCATACAAGTGTCCCCTTTTTTTCCCTCATCTCCGCTGGCAAACTCTGCATCACATGAAATCAGAAAATATCCTCCAGTAATAGTTATATATATTCCTCACTCTACATTATATCGACATAGAAAAAGAGCATCCAGCAATGGCCTCCCCTGTTTTTCTGCTCTTCAATGCATTTCTACTTTCTTTGAGCTTAATGAAGGATTTTCTTCTCTTATGCAACGCTGATCTCACTAATGGTTTTATTCCCTTGTACCTAACTGAAGCAAATTTTGTACTACAGAAGCCATATGATGTACCTTTATCAGACCGCTATAGGTATGCTAATGGTGTGCACCGCATGTGGGTTTACTCCATTGACAGGCCATATAAAGCAGGAAGCCCTACCGGCCCACGAACTGAGATTCGATTCAACGTACTTGATTTCATTTATGTGTATATTCTAGCTTTCAAACTTTACGTATATTTATTATTATTAATTTTCTTTTGAAATTATTGTGTTGTAGGGTTATGATTATTCTAGCGGAATATGGCATTTTGAGGGGTATGTTTTTGTGCCATATGGAACAAGTGGCGCATCTATCATGCAAATTCATCGAACAAATGGAGAGAAACCAGCTACAGATTTGATGCTTATGATTTTTAATGGAGAATTGAGGTTCTACTCCGGGGAAGTAATGGAATCTAATATTTACAACAGATGGGTAAAAGTGAATGTGATACATGATGTTGATGCTAATAAGTTGACCATTTTTATTAATGGTGTTATAATGCTTGAAGTAGATGGAAAAGGTGTCAGTAATTTTTATTTCAAATGTGGTGTTTATGCACAACGTAATGGCAGCTACTATATGGAATCAAGATGGAGGGATATCAAAATTTATAAGAAGAAAATTTACTATGGAGGCGGATTAGACAATATAAAGAATTGACATATATGTATTTATATGTATTTGTGTGTGTATGTGAGCACGCCAGCGTGCGCGCGTGCGCGCGTGCGAGTTTACCAATATTCATTGAAAATTGTAATAAGTATGTTTGTGTTATTTGTTTTCTATAAATGAAGTACATTATCTTGCAATAACCCATTACTTAGCCTTTAAAAGTAATGTATTATTCATGTATGTTTTAAGAGATTAAATAATCAAGCAAAAAGTTTAAGGTAATAGCATTTGTAACTACTAATAACTTATAAGTTGGAATTTTATAAAAAAAGTTAATTAAAATTATTTCATCTCAGATGATTGTAAAAAAATAGATGAAGTAATTCTTAAATTTGAACTAGAATAAAATTAAATATATCATAAGCTTTTTTCTTATTTAAAATAACTGAAAATTAAGCCATTTTTTTCCAATATATATTTTATTCGTTGCAAGCAATGAAAGGAGCCTTAGTATTTTCTATTGATTCAATATATCATATAAGTATTGTTTTCATTCCAAGTGATCAAGAAAAATACATATACACTTGCTAGTCATTAAGTTATAAGTTAATACATTAATCAACATTGAAAATTCTTATCATCTCCTAGATCCACAAACATCAAAGCAAAGAGCATTGATGAGCGTGGTTACTTCATATATTAATTTTTGTCATGTAAAACAAATCAAGTTCACGCCAACATCATACTATTTTGGTGAACCTTTCATTTATTTTAGAACAAACTTTAGATAAACTTTATGTAATGTTTATGATGAAGTTGGTAGACAATCTTCTCTTCAACAAGAAGATACAAGTTCAAAGTACACTCTAATAATTAATTTCTATCTTAGTTGCCACTAATACTAAATCTTTTCACAAAAAAAAACTACATATAAAATTTAACATATTTTATTTATTCAATCCAACACACACACACACACACAAACATGCATACATATATACATACATACATACATACATACATATATTTGTGTGTGTGTTCAAGTTCCATGAGAATCAATGAGAAATGTCCTTTAACTTTTATGTGATTTATTTCTACTATTAAACAAGGTTGTACGGGCTTAAGGCAAATGAACATTTTTCATGTATATGCAAAATGAAAAAAAAATGTAGAAAAGTCATTGATGAGGGTAGGATCATAAATCTCTTTGTCATTCATACTTTCATTAAGGATAACAAAAGTTTGAGCCCCATCATGAGTCATTTAATATGAACTGGGTTAATCATGTAAATATGCTTGTGACTACTAGTTTTTTAAATTCATATTGAGCTTGATAATTATGAAATCTATGTCTCATGTGGTGTGATTTCCATTAATATTTCTTATGTCATATAAGTAGATCAAAGCATTATTGCATAGATGTTGAACATTATGATCAAGAAACTATTTCTAATTTCAAACGTAAATGGAAGATCACAATAATTATTTTTTGTAAAACCCCATGGAAAATTATATATAGCTAACACATAATAAATTTAGCTTTGAATTTAAACATGTATCCAAATAAAATAACAAAACAAAACCAAATGAAACTTCAACTAAATTTGAATGGTTTCCCAAGTGCTATGTATTTAATTATCCCAATAAAATTTTATTGATTCATAAATCTAAGCAAAATATTTGTAGATGTATCTCTAGACATAAAAAATAAAGTAAAAAAACATGAATTTAAAATAAATTTCAACAAACTTTAAACAACAAATTGAAAAAGCTTTCAATAAGGTTAAATGAAAAAAAAATCAATTTTAATTGACAAAATCACAAAAAATTACTTAGCGAAACTTGTGGAGAAGTTTGACGTTTGACTCTAAAGAGAAATCAAAGAATAAACCATTTGGGGACATGTTTAATGAGTTAGAGCACAATTCTTGTGTCCGACCAAGAGGAAACCAATAGAAAAAGAAGATAAAATGGTTGAGAGATCGGTGTCACTTCCATATATATCAGGTTTTAGATAGATTATTCAAATAAAGAAATCTGTAAGAAAAATTTTTTGATGTATTTTTCATCATAAAATTTTGGAGAGAAAATTAAACTTTGAATCTACTCTTTTCGATGGAAATTGTTGTTAAACAATTTTGTGATGGATTAGTCCATCAAAAACCTAGTCGGTAATATAGAACTTTTCACTGACAACCTTTTTGCAGTGTAATTTGAATCTAATATTCACTTGATTCATAAGTATATTCATGTGTGAGCATGTCATTGATAAATTTATTGAATTTAAAAGAACAAAGTGGTACAATTAAGAAGAATGAAGAAGTCTTCTCTAAATAGTTTAAAAAGAGCAGAGTTATACTCATCTCACACATTTATTATTTTGTCTATTGAAGCAGACAATAAAATATGATTTTTTATAAAATTTTTATAGGTCAATATTTGGAAAAATAGATTTACAGACCTAAGTTCGATAGACCTTACTTGGGTTCCTACGCACATTGAGAAAATATGTCCAATTTATGATTTGAATGACTTTATATTTCATACAAGATCCTGATCCAAAAGAAAAATAATAATAATAATGGTATTTATGTTAAAAGGCACAAAAGTTTAGTTAACAAAATCGAAATTGAAAAGATCAACAGTCATTACAAGAGTCGTAGGAAAGGGAGGGCTAAGCAATCCCCATTCAACAAAAAGGAAAGAGGAGAAGAGGTAGAGGCACTAACTAAAGATTCTTCAGAGTTTTTTCCCATTTTGGCTAGCCAATTGGTTGTCCAATTACCTTCTCTAGGTATGTAGGAAAATATAACATGAATGACAGCAGTGAATAGATGGTTCTTGTGCAACCACTTCAATAAATACCAAGGGGTCTCCTCAAGGTTTTGTAGAATTCTAACAAGCTGTTGAGAATTTAGTTCCACAATTAACCTCTGAAAATTACACCTTTAACCAATGTAAAAAGCCCAATAAATAGCAATCAATTTAGCTTCAAGAGCATCAGGAGCCAGAATGGGGGAGTAAAATAACATTAGATGGTGTTCATTAGAATTTCTGAACACCTCACCAACACCAGCATCCCCAAAAAAATAACTTCCATCTATGTTGACTTTTATCCAGTTCCTTGGTGGTTTGTTCCGAGAAACCATGGAGATTGGGGATGCCAGAGTATTAACATTAGAAGGTGACCAAACTCTACAAATGTTAGAAAATCTATGGTAATGAATTAGCTTTTGAATGTAGAAAATACAATGTTTGGCTGTTTGTGCAGCAAAAGACTTGAGCCCATCAAATTTGGTTTGGTTCCTAAGCATCCAAATAAATCAAGCCACTATGCAAAGAATGGGTGAAAGATCAACAACATTCCAGTCAACCCAACTTGTATTAAAGAGATTCCAACTCAATTGAATACTATCCACGGTAATTCTATCCATGAAATTTGCCCAAGTTTGTTGACCAAGGAACAACTAAAGAAAAAATGATCTAAGGTTTCCTCCTCCTGATTGCATAAGTAACAACAATAAGGACCTCTCAGGCCTTTTAATTTGAGGATATCATCAGCTGAAAGGATTTTCCTTAATAATCTCTAACAGAAAAAAAGACATGGGGGTTAAGAACCTACACCAAATAGCCTCACCCCAAGCTTTTTTAACCCAGGGGAAGAACCTATTATATATATAAGATGATAGAGTTTGCGATGAGGCCCTGTTTAGTGATTAATTTTTTTTTTGCTTTAAAAAATGGTGTACTCATTACTAATTTAACTTGAGTATCATTCAATAGAGTATTTAACATTCTGCAGTTCCATTGATTCTCATCCTATCAATCATTAACCTGGAGATAGTAATTGACTGCATTTAGATTATGATGAAGAAATTCACCATTACAGACCCAATTGTCTAACTAAAAGTTAACATGCATTCACCCCACTCTCAAATGAATAATTCTTCAGCTTGATTTTGAATACCCGACATGCTAGACCAGGTTTTAGAGTCCCCTATTTTTTTTAAACTAAAGATGGATGCAAGTCTGCAATATTTACCTTTCAAATCCCACAATAAGTCTTGTACTCTAAACTTAATCCACAGTTTACATAATTTTATGAACCATAGGTGTTGAAAACTTTTGAAGCCAAGACCACCAGCTTAAGGTGGTTTGAAAACCTTCTGTCAATGCACCTTCTGTCAATGCATCTTAATTTCTTCACAAGAATTTTATACTATTGCTAGAATATTTAAATCCCCGGCAACAGCGCAAAAAACTTGACAGCAACTTTATATATGCTTAAAAATACAAGAATTTGATACTGTTGCTAGAATATTTAAGTCCCTAGCAACGACGCCAAAAATTTGACAATAGTTATAGATTTGATAAAAATGTGTATAAAATATTCAATAATTGCATAGTCACATTTATCAACGCAAGTATACGTATCGCTCAAGTAATACAGGACTGGAGTCTAGTCTTGGATATCGATCCCACAGAGAGTAATACTAGAGGCTACGAACTAGGATTTAGAAAATCAATACTTAATCACAACAATATAGTTCAAATTGCTTATTTGTCAGTAATAAGCTATTGAAATAAATATGTAATTTTAACAAACTCTTAATTAACTAATTCTAATAATAAAGTCTCTAATGTGAAATTCAATAAATAAGAAAGCATCCTTCTCCTTGTCAAGAAATTAAAGTGAATGGATAAAGTGAATTAGTTCAAATTATATTGTGTCAAATAGGAGCATACATATTCTTTACCCATTGGTCCAGGCATAAAGAACATTGACTAATCCTATGCTTGGTTACTGAATCTGCGGCTAGGCTCGGAGGATACCGGCTCTCACTTCGAAGCTCACACGTTCCCCTTGCCTGAGGGCTAACATCTACACTTCAACACCAAACGATAGAATCGAATTGAGGATTTTAGTCTGTCACTCTAAAATCTCCAATTCTATGCCCGATAATTTTATTTCCCTATTTATTTACACCCAACTTTCAAGGACTTTGACCTCCCTAAATCTTGGATGTAATCTTCACTTTAGTTGTAAA